TCTAAAATACTACATAGAAATATGCCAAAACTAAATTAAAAGCTAAAAGCTTTTTTAATGTAATAAAAATAATAATTAAAATATTAAAATAAATAAAAATACTGTGACACTGGACATTTTTCATACCCCAGGCAAATTCTGACTGACACTTATCATTCATTCATTCATTCATTCATTTTCTTGTCAGCTTAGTCCCTTTATTAATTCTGGGTCACCACAGCGGAATGAACCGCCAACTTATCCAGCAAGTTTTTACGCAGCGGATGCCCTTCCAGCCGCAACCCATCTCTGGGAAACATCCACACACACACACACTCATACACTACGGACAATTTAGTCTACCCAATACACCTGTACCACATGTCTTTGGACTGGCACCTGGAGGAAACCCACGCGAAGACAGGGAAAACATGCAAACTCCACACAGAAACGCCAACTGAGCCGAGGTTCGAACCAGCAACCCAGCGACCTTCTTGCTGTGAGGCGACAGCACTACCTACTGCGCCACTGCCTCGCCACTGACACTTTTCAGTCAAATATAAATAAAAGCTAATAAATACTTTTTCCACAATGTTGCCTCTTGTACATGTCTTCTGAGAATTATTAAATACTGGCATTATTAAACCCAGCATGCTTGTTTGTGTACATCGGTGGAGTTGAACAGGAGTTCATTATGCTGTAGAATATGCATTGTTTCCTTTGGAGGATGGCAACATGCATTTCAGCATCACGGGGAGGAAGTGAACACACAAACACAGCCAGCTTTGATAAAACAAGAGCAGATACTAATGAAGCTTTTATCATTCCCTGACTCTTTTTTCAGCGCCCCAGTGCATTTGTTTCAGATCGGCTTTGATGAGCGCCAGCGTTCCAAACCGAACCACAGACAGACAGACAGAAATCCAGACTTTCATTTACATAAACGCAAACTGTTTGGTGTCTTTCTGCAACACCAGGACTGAGATAAAAGCGAGCTGTTTTGATTTTCTCTTTGATGAGTCTTGGACAGAGACAAGCACATTATGTTAAGATGCCAAATAGCAGACGGAGGCTCTTTAAACACCCCCTGCTGGTCATATCTTGCAGAAAATGAGGGCGACGAAAATGGTGGGCCACAGGGCAGAGGACGAGCGCAGGACATGGGCAGAATGGTAGATGAGAGACACTTATGCCTGCAAGGAGCATTGAAACTGAACAGGGTGTCCGAGAAATCACTGCAACAAATGTCCTAATTTAGCTACTAAATGTACCACTGATGCAGCGGTAATATTACCAATACAGAATCATTAGAAATGTGTTCCCTAAGATACATTTCTTGCAAGTTTTGTTTTCACAAATCCACTAGAGGGCACCATGTATATTTTAGACAATCTTAAATACATTACTGGGGCACGTTTACTCATATGTGCCATTTGTCGAAAATCCACCAGAGGCCGCTGTGGACATTTAGTTATATTTGATTTATTTATTAGTATTTTGTTTTGGTTTATTTATTTATTTATTGGTTGTTTGAAGTCTACCAGAGATGATATGAAGTGGGGTTATAACATTACATATATTAATATTAATATTACTGCTTACAGAAGAAAATTCAATAAACAGTTGTTAACAAAACAAAAACGTTTGGCAGATGAGATGCTTACGTCTGCGAGGAGCATTGAAACTGAACTAGGTGTCCAAGAAATCTCTGCAACAAATATCCTAAGCGTACTACTAATGAAGCAATAGACTACAGCGAATAGTCCGGACTGCTGAACGTATCACTGGCACTACCCTTCCTACAGTGCAAGAACTGTCCTCTTCCAGAGTGAGTTAGGCTCGCAAAATCACTCTGGACGTCTCGCACCCAGCACACTACATGTTCGTACGGTTACCGTCCAGTACCGCTTCAGAGCACCAAGCACAAAAACACCCAGACACAAGAAAAGTTTCTTTCCTCAGGCCATCTACCTCATGAACAGTTAAATATCCACCAACTGTGCAATAAACATGTGCATATTCTCTCATACGCACTTGTACAAAGCACCTTATGTCAACATACAATGCAATACTTTCTACATGCGCATTTGTACACAGCACCTTATAACCCGTGTATTTATAACAAATCTGTACATACAATTCAGCATCCAGATTTCTTGACTAACTGCATCTCTGTTTAATGTTTATCATCTTTTTTTTTTCATATTCATTTTGCGTTGTCACTTATCACTTTATGTACACTAGAAGCTTCTGTAGCCAAAACAAATTCCTTGTGTGTGTGAAGCACACTTGGCAATAAAAACAAATTTTGATTCTGATAACATTTCCAACACCTTGGAGTAAATGGAAATATGTGCCCTGGACTACGTCTCTTGGTGTTTTTGTTTTCACAAATCCACTAGAGGGTGCCGCGTACTGTACACATCTGTAATATGTTAATGGGGCACATTTTTTATATGTGCCATTTCTCGTAAATCCACCAGAGGCCACTGTTCACATTTATTTATATTATGTTTTGGTTTTTATATATGGTAGGTTTATAACATTACATAATATTAATATTACTGTTTACGCAAAAAAAAAATTTAAAAAACAAAACAAAAACGTTTGGCAGATAAGATACATGCTATTGCTCGTAAATCCACCAGATTTTGTTTTATTTATAGTTTGTTTTGGCTTATTTATTTATTTATTATGGTTTTTGAAGTCTACGAGGGGTAGTTCTATAAACCGTTGTTAACAAAACAAAACCGTTTGGCTGATAAGAGACACTTATGTCTGTCAGGAGCATCGAAACTGAGCATTGAAACTGAACTGGGCGTCCAAAACATTTTTGCAACAAATGTCCTAATTTAGCTATTAAATGTACTACTACTGTAGCTGTAACATTTCCAATCCAGGCTCATTGGAAATATGTGCCCAGAACTACATTTTTGAAAATCATCAAATATGTACTCTGGATAACGTCTTCTGGCTGTTTTGATTTCACAATTCCACCAGAGGTCGCTGTGTACATTTATTTATATTTTGTTTGGATTTTTTTTATGGTTTCTTGAAGTCTACCAGGGGTGACGAAGTGGCATTATAACATTACATAATATTAATATTACTGGTTTAAGAAGAAAATTCTAAAACAAAACAAAACCATTTTTCTAACAAGATACGTGCTATTTCTCATAAAACCATCAGAGGCCGCTGTGCACATTTTTTTAACATTTTGTTTTATTTATTTATCTATCTTTTGTTTTGGCTTATGCATTTATTGTGGTTGTTTGAAGTCTCAATATTTTGGCTGAAAGGAGACGCTTAAGTCTGGGAGGAGCATCGACATTGAACCGGGTGTCCAAGAAATCTCTGCAACAAATTAGCTACTAAATGTACTACTAATATAGCGGTAAAATTGACAACGCAGGCTCACTGGAAATATGTGCCCAGGGCTACATTGTTGAGAGCAAAAAAAAATATGTACCCTGGACTACGTCTTCTTGCAGTTTTTGTTTTCCACTAGAGGGCTCTGTGTACAATTTTGACAAATGGCACGTATGAGTTTTCACCTATATTGCATGACAGAAAACAGACAATATTGAGCAATGTTAACTTTCACCAAATAGTGTGCTCTACTACAAAAAGATCATATTTTTGGCCATATTTTTGGCCATTTTCTTCTTTGGGACAAAACTCTAAAATGCCATTTTGGATGATAATTTTCACCAGCCCAAAATTTGGTGCATCCATAGTCTAGATCAGGCAAAGAGCTTAGAATGACCAAGAGGCAACACTCAATAGAACGTTGCATTGCAACAGCAGCGCCCAGCAACAGCCCTGCATTCCGCCATTTTGGGAGTGAAAGTGATCGGCCGTCTATTGGATCTTGTTGCTGTTGTGATGGCAAGCAGCTGCTTTGTTTTTTATTTATTTATATACATTACATGTACATATACATACATATATGATATACAACCTGAAACACGACAATTCAACACTTGCTATCACAATCATCAGCACTTTTAATAGTTTATTTTACAGACTTATTATATGCTGTTGTTGTATTGGAATATTCATTCCAAAATAGCCTCCGCAGCATCTAGTGGCTGTTTCCCAAATCGTATCTCCTCTTGGTGATTCTATGCTCTTTGGATCAGCGGTGTCCAAACTCGGTCCTGGAGGGCCGATGTCCTGCATATTTTAGTTCAACCCCAATTAAACACACCCAAAGACTAAAGAGTACACAAGACATGTCACTCATATACTATTTAATAGCGAAAAGTGTAACTGTCAACATCGTAATTGAAGCACCGCCTACTAGTACAGGAGCCAATCAGTGATCGCTATATGGCGAATAAACCTCGCCTTCTAGTACAAGAGCCAATTAGCAATCGCTATAGAAAGACAATTCTTCGGGGGAGGGACTTGAGTTTCTGCAGATTTTGTGTGATGCGAATATTCAGAAATGAAACTAAATAGACAGTTGTTGTTTAATTTTATTGGTTATTCATTATATGAAATGTAATCGTAAGCTTGGCAAGTAGTTTTGGAGAATTTGATGTTTCCCCATTCAAACAGAATGCCCGAGCATACTGCCCGAGAGGTGTTTCAAAGATGGCTGCCGAGTGAAATGACTTGCCTTAAACGGACTTTGAAACACCTGAACCAGCGAATCAAGCTCTTTCTAGGTATACTAGAAACTTCCAGGCGGGTGTGTTGGCGAAAGTTGGAGCTAAACTATGCAGTGCACTGGCCCTAAAGGATCGAGTTTGGACACCCCTGGTCTAGATGAATATGTGAACATTATTAGTGGAAAGAGATAAAAAAAAATCCTACTTAATTACAGCAGTTAAAGGCACAGTATTGAATTTTCACCACTAGAGGGCAAATATTCACAACAAACAAAAGTGTAGTTTGATGACACCATGACGAGTGTGGAATCATGGGATATGATTCATAACATCCTATGTGAATAAATAATGTTTATGGATGAGCTAAAGTATTCAACACTTACTGTATCATGGTATCTTGTTTCTCAAATCACACAGAACAATTCCATTGTGAATGGGTCTGGTTTGATCACATCTGTTATCTAGGTATAGTGTCTTTTCATAATACTGTATCTTTACATTGCAGGGTCATCGCAACAAATTAGTAAAGAAACAAATGAAGAACCAGACACAATAAAGAAGAAAACGGTGTGTGTATGGAGGAGATTTGGGAGGTATTTGCCTCCAGGAAAAAGCAACACCTCATGTTTGTGAGTATGTTTGTGTGTATAAGTGTGTGTGTGTCAAGAACCACAGGCAAAAGACAAGCCCAAACAAACACTTTCACTCTCTGCTGCTCTGCTGTTCTTCTTCCTACAGCCCACTGAGTTAACAGTGTCTCCACAATAAAGGTGATTTAACCAACCAAAAAAACATCTTTGTTCATTCAGTATGAAAGCAAAATGAAAGATGAAGATGCTGTCAGACACCGACACAAAGAGAGCAAATGTTCAGAGAAACAAAGAAAGACAAACACACACAGCTCTGTTCAGATGATTTGTCGTCAAATTTCTTTTCATGAGTTGTGCTTTGCTTATGACGACAGCAACCAAACACAAAATAAATAATTTGTATAACAACAATAAAATAAGAAGTCAAAAAATTTCCTTTTATGTCCTTTGGCATATCTCACTTTCAACAAAGTATTGATTGCTTACATTTTTTATTTTATAACATGATTACTTATGATTACTGAAAGGGCAACTAGATGTAAAATAATAATATCTGATGTTCCTAGAGTGTGTATTTGAAGTTTTAGCTCAAAGTTCTCCACAAACAATGTTTTAAAACTGCCCCTTTTTCTGCTTTGATCCTAATTGGGGCTTAAAACTGTCGCTTTAAATGCAAATGAAATTGGAGCAAAAGAGGGTGGAGCTACAAATGCCTGTGTGTGAGCATAGTGGCAGACTCAAAAGCAAGACTAACGTCCTATGCTAACGAGGGAGAGACGGTCAGAAGTGGGCGGGGCTTTCCCCCTCTGATGACAAGAACAAAGTGAGAATGACAATCAAAGTGTTTCTGCAGACAGTTTTTATCAAGTCTGATTATAAAAAAGTTAATTATTACATTTTTATCATTAGAAGCTGATTATTTTCACACACTGCTGCCACACAACTGTGTTTAAACCCCTTATAAAAGTGATTTTTGCATTAAAGGTCCCCTTTAAAGTAAAAATCTGCACATTTTGGAAATTTTTATTTTTCAAGCTTGGAATTACCACTTTGTCAGAAATGTTTTATAAATAGCTAATTCTTCTGGTAAAAAAAAATACAACATACAAAAGTAAATACATGAATAAATGTATGAAAGAGATGAACTAATACAAACATCCATAGTATAAAAAGTAGAGAACTGTAAATGTAAACAATATAATGAATTTAAAATATATATAAAAATAATTTCACTTTTTCCAGATAATTTTTTGATCCTGCATTGTGACTTTTTATTAAAACAATCTAGTTTTTCCATTACAAATATTTTTAATTAAAATTTCAGGACCTCAAAACAGTTGTTTTGTCAAGTAAATGAACCACAGTATATGTGTATAGCTCCTTTTCAAGATGTAAGGCTTGTTCACACTGGGTACTTTTCGTTGCGTTTATCGTCAGCGTTTTTTGAGACGTTATTCAAATATTAATCAAACCCAAGCGATTTTCACTGACGTCAAGCAGAAGAGTATGCAAAATCCCTCCTTGACGTTACATGATTTTTTAAAAATGACACTTTTAAAGCTGTCGTTTTGCGCGTTGGTCTGCACGATCACATTGCTGCCCTTTATTTAATCAAAAGGCGTTAAACGTCTATCTTTATACAATAACTTGCCTAAATACCCTAACTTGCCTAATTATCCTAGTTCCGCCTTTAAATGTCACTTTAAGCTGAATACTAATATCTTGAAACTTTTCTAGTAAAATATTAAGGACTGTCATCATGACAAAGATAACATAAATCAGTTATTAGGAATTAGCTATTAAAATTAATATGTTTAAAAAAAAATCTTCTTTCTGTTAAGCAGAAATGGAGGAAATAAATATACAGGAGGGCTAATAATTCTGATTTCAACTATATAAATGACCTCTGACCTTCCTGCAGTGAAGCAAAGTGTCCGCCTCTCACCACCGCTGTCACTGAAATCTCTGCGCTGCCATGAGGACGGGTAAATTGGCTGATCTTCTGACCCAAACACAGCAGTCAACACATCACCGAGAAGCAGGAAACCCCAACAATGACCTTAGGAGAGAGGCAGAAGACCAGAGCATTGTCCATTACATGATCCTTCAGGGTTAAAGTCAAATATTCAATTAGTGTTCGCCTGGAATACGAATCCAGCACCCACAGGATAACCATAAAATTCTCTTGTTTCATTCATTCATTTTTCTTCAGCTTAGTCCCTTTATTCATCAGTGGTTGCCACAGCAAAATGAACCGACAACTTTTCCAGCATACGTTTTACACAGCGAATACCCTTCCAGCTGCTACCCAGTACTGAGAAACATCCATACACTTTTATTCACACACATTCACTACAGCCAGTTTACCTTATTCGATTCACCTATAGCGCATGTCTTTGGACTGGAAGGGAAACTGGAGCACCCAGAGGAAACCACGCCAACATGCAAACTCCACACAGAAATGCCAACTGGTCCAGCCAGGCCTTAAACCAGCGATCTTCTTGCTGTGGGGCCACAGTGCAAACCATTGAGCCACCGCGTCGCCCCTCTCCTGTTTCATTTTGATAAAATAATCTATTATCCTTTGAAAATTGTTTACACAAATCTGATGGAACTCTGATAATTAAATATTACATTGATTTGTTGATAATTGTTTGAGACCTTTTTACCGTTTAGAGTTATTATTGTTAAATAAAAAAATCAAATAATTTAATTAGAAAATGATCAAATTAAATATTGGTAGTTGAAACAAAAGCCAAAACTGGAATAAAATGAAATATTAAATATTTGCTACAATTTCTGTTAACTTGCAGAACTAAAACAACTAGAACCATTTATATTAAACCTAAAGAAAGCAACGACACATAAAACAACAAATAAAAGCCTAATAAAAATGACAAAAACTATTCAAAATTACTGAAATGTTTAATAAAACTAAAGTTAAGCATGATGAAAATGGGTGTAATGTACACTGTAAGAATGCTGAGTTCCACACAATTAATTCACGTTGTCCCAATACAAGTCGATTAAGTTGCCCTAATTGTTTTTATAAATTTAATTGGATTGAACATAAAACAATTAAGTTGTCCCAAAAGACCTTTAAAAATTATGTTGTTTCAACTCATTTTAAATAAGTAGTTTGAACAAGTAGCGAAGCAGTGGCGCAGTAGGTAGTGCTGTCGCCTCACAGCAAGAAGTTTGCTGGGTTGCTGGTTCGAGCCTCGGCTCAGTTGGCGTTTCTGTGTGGAGTTTGCATGTTCTCCCTGCGTTCGCGTGGGTTTTCTCCGGTTTCCCCCACAGTCTAAAGACATGCGGTACAGGCGAATTGAGTAGGCTAAGTTGTACGTAGTTTATGAGTGTGTGTGTGAATGTAGTGTGGATGTTTCCTAGAGATAGGTTACGGCTGGAAGGCCATCCGCTGCGTAAAAACTTGCTGGATAAGTTGGCGGTTCATTCCGCTGTAGCAACCCCGGATTAATAAAAGGACTAAGCCGACAAGAAAATGAATGAGTTTGAACAAGTAGAAAAAGTGAGCGTAGGTCATGTAAACTGACTATTTTTTTATACTTATTGGTGGCCAATTTGTCATAGATTTCGATAGGATTTTAGTATTAATGTAAAAACAGAAAGAGACTAAATTAATTATATTCTTTAACAACAGCATGAAGCTCTTTAAACAGTTTGCAAAACTAATAATTAAAGTTGAAACACTAAAAAGCAAAAAAAACACACGGAAGTAGGGCTGCACAATATATCATTTCAATGTAGATATCGCAATAAGTGCATGTGCAATAGTCACATTGTAAAGATATGCAATGTTGAGTTGACTTTGCAGTGTAATTTTTACATTTACATATACAAAACCATAATGCATGCATTGTTTATTTCCATTTTATCTTGGCTTTGTTGCATTTATCTATGCTTACAGTTTGCTTATTACAAGCTAGGCATGATTCACCTCTACAGAATCATCCATGTCAATCAAAATGAATACATTCGGAAACACTTCTATTTTGAAAATTGGTTTAAAAACAACTTTCTTTTAGTTGGAAATGAAAAGATTCCATGGGAGAAAGTATGGACTTAGCCTCATAAGTATCTGATTACAAATAATGGTATGTAATGTATTTTTTATTTAATGCCATGTCAGCAACCAAGGCTATCTTCATGGCAGGAATCTTTTAACAATAAATATACAATTTAAAAATCAACAAACAAAATAAAACATAAATTAAATAAGATTGTTTGTGTTAATACATGATAAAAATTCTTAAATCTTTTCTGGTTTCACTTTGTCAAAAACGTCCTTAAAAGAGTTTTTCATTTCCTAAAAAGTCCTTCTGGAATCAGTAAAAGCAGGACAGTCCAGTAAAATATGTTTTATAGTAAAAGGAGTTTTGCAGCACAAACACTGATTAGGGTTTTCACCTTGGAGCAAAAAACCATGTGTTATTCTCGTATGCCCAATACGACATCTGGTAAAAACTACTTGATCAAATCGATTCTTAAAATGTCTTAAAATTCTGTGTGAAACTTCAGGTTGGATTTCATGTAATTTATTGTTTTCTAATGCATCCCATTCCTTTTGCCACTTGTTTAAAATGTAAGCGTTGATAAAAGGTTTCATCTCTGGCGGAGGAATTTGGCATTTGTTCACTACTTGTTTCAAAGCATCTTAAGCAGCTGCATCAGCTCGCTCATTGCCTGAAAGTCCGACATGTCCAGGAACCCAGCAAAAAATGATGTGATAAAAATGATTTTGTTGTTGGTGAACTTTAGTTAAAATATTATCAATCAAAGGATGATCATTCGTTGAAGAGTCCATAACTTGGAGGCATGATTTAGAGTCTGTAAAAATGATAGATTTCTTTTGTTGGGCATTTTCTATATACTCCAATGCTAAAAGTAAAGAGCGGGCTTCAGCTGTGAATATGGAGCATTCTTTAAGCAGACTGATTCCATAATGTTGTTGACCAGTTATCTGATTACAAATAAAGTAAAAGTAACATTTAAATTAATTCACAAATGTTATCCTACTAAGGCCTGTCTTCAGAAATATAAGCCTGACATTGATTTAAACTGCTCATTCTGTCACTCTTCGGAGGAAGACTCTATTCATTTGTTCTGGCAGTGCTCCTTCACAGAGAGATTCTGGTCAGATTTGTTGATCTTTATTCAATCTTATATTATGAGTGACTTTTCCTTTTCTTTTAAAGTTATATTCTTTGGAATGTTTGATGACTCTAAAGAAAACATGGAAATATAGTTAATTTGTGATATCTATTAGCCAAGTTTCATATTCACAAACAGAAGTTTAGTGGCTCTAAACCTTTTTTTTTTTTTTTTTTTGATCTGTTCAAAATTGACCTAGACCAATATTTGGAAACTATCCAGCACTCTCTTCATCCCAACAAAAACTGTATCCTTACAT